TATGGAAATAACACTTATGCAGTGTTGTTATGAGGGTAAAAATGGATAAGTGTTTAGAATGGGGACTGACATTAACACGTTTTTTAAAAAGACCTTACATAACATGAGAAATGTTATGCCAGAGTACTTTATATATAAACTTACTGGAAAATTGATTTTTCTGTAAGCTAATGTTTAACTATAAATTGATTGAAGAGATAGCCAAGCAGATAAGAATATAATTGGCCAACAGAGAAGACTGATTACACTATTGACCACAAGTCAGTTTTTGCATGTTAACTCTCTGGGCTAGAAGGATAAAATTATTTCTCCCTTTAAAATCAAGAAGTATAGATTAAAGGTCTGCAGAGAGTCTTCCCTACAGACTGTGGGTAATGCAGAGAGCACAACAGACCTGAATTTGAATTCTGGCTCTGCTACTTATTAGCTGTATGACCTTGGGCGAGTTACTTAGTATCTGTAATCCTTAATTTACCTTGTTTGTTATTGGTGAAAACATTATTATTACTTAGGGTACTCTTTATAATTAAATGTGATAATTCTTATTACTGTGTTTTTCCATAGAATTTTTCAAACAATGATAAATTTCTGCATTGGAACCCCAGGGTACTAAAACCATTTCAAGCTTTGTGTTTTTTAAAAAAAATTTTATTTATTATTATATTTTTAATTTACCCTAGGGCATATGCACTCACCAGAGAGAAAGAGAGATAAAAAGAAAGAGAGAGAGAGAGAGAGAGAGAGAGAGAGAGAGAGTGAGAAAGCAAGCTACCAGGTCTAGGACTCAAACTTGGTAGGCCATGTGTGATCCAGCCACCTTACCCACCATTTCAACTGACTGGCCCAAGCTTTGTGTTTTAAAGGATACATTTCTCAGCACTAAATGGAAAGAGTTTGGGGTTTCCTTATAAAGTATGGGCAAAGAATTGTTTTCAGGGAAGGTCTGGGTGAAGTTTGAGGAAATTCAAAAGGATTAAGAAAATTATGCTTTTTGAAACAATGATGGAGACAATAGCTGCTGCTCTCTCTGATTGGAGCCATTGCTGTACAGTTGGCTTCTCTGGATCCTAGCGGGCCATCTGCTTTTAGTCCCTAGATTACAGATGAGAAACAGAGGCCAGAGGGGGAACTGACTTCACATGGGTACACTCAGAATAGAGTCTTTTGGCTCATGGTCCAGGACCTTCTACTGAGCCACACTGGGTGGCCCAGTGTTGTCCCTCCAGTCTTCAGGGGGTAAAAGGGCAGAACCCGACATTCTCATTCATCCTGAAATGTGATCACTGTTTACTCTGTGAAGTTCGAAGCTGAGTGCCTCTACCAGGTGGCTCTAGCCTCTGGCCTTGTGCTGCTGGCTTCCAAAAATGCCCGGTTTTTAGTTTTCAGTTACCATGAATGCTTTAGTGAGTTCAGCAATAGATCCTGTACTCCTGATTCCTGTGCTAGCTGGTCAGGGAGGCTGGCTTTACTGGTAGAGCCCTACTCCTTAGGCCTTATTCCTAACTTCCACCTTTTCCAGCTATCTCCCTTCCCCCTCTGTCTGGTTATATGTTATCCTACCAGCTGTATTTGTCTGCATTGCCCTGGTGTTCAGCCTGATTGTGCCACCCTTTGGCAGGTATCCCAGCCTGGAACGTCAGCTCTGGATGTCCAATGAGCTGCACACATTTGTTGGGTATGTTTGTCTTCTGTGCCCCAGGAAAGAGGAAGGTTCAGGCAGACCAATTCTATTTACTATGCTGAAAGCCACGGGAATGGACTTAAGAATTACACAGTCAAACAGATTTTGTCAGCTGTGGCCAGGCCCTACACAAAGCTAATATTGTATGCATAGGACAATAGTGAACTACCCCTGAAATAATAGGACTGTCCTCTACTGTAAATTTCAGTTCCTCTCCTCTATTCAAGTTGGGACTCTCTTATTTGAAATGCTTGAGACCAAAAGTGTTTCAGATTTTTTAGGAATTGGGAATATTTGCATGTACATAATAACATATCTTGGAAACAAGATCCAAGCTGAAACACAAAATTCATTTGTGTTTAATGTATACCTTATACACATAGCCTAATGGCTATCTTTTATTATTTTTTTCCTGAAATATTTTTTCATGTGACTGCTATTGTTGGTAATACTCTTATTTGTAAATTATATGAATTGGTATGGGATGATAGAGAGTATATCTTCTAAACCATGGGTGGTAACCAATATTTAAAAAATTTGGAAGTAGATGGGACCAGCAGATGGCATAATGGTTACATTGCTAGACTCCACAAGACCAACTGTAGTTTGAGTCCTGAACCTGGTCTTAAAACTCATGCCCAATGCCTGTGTGTGCATGTCCTAAATCCCAAGGAGAAAATGAAGAAGAGATTGCAGTGAGGTCAGTCCCCTTGGTGGGTGATTTCTTGTTTACTGTCCCTCTGTCTGTCTCTGACAAGCGCATATACCGTACAGCAAAAATCTCTATAGAAAAATTTAGAAATAGAAAAATACCAAAGTGAAAAATATGAGGTCAACACCTCATAAGTGTGTGTATACATATATACGTATATACATACACACATATATATGCACACCTATATATATAAACACAATAGAATATAAGAATATATGAAAAAATATGATCATAATGTAATTCTTATTTCTTACTGTGGGTTCCAGTAAGAAAGTATGATAATCATTGTTATAGAAGAGCTGAGTCACTGTGAGGTATATCTATGGACTCCCTGGGTGAGAACAGCTCTTTAAGGTAGATTCCTGTCTATTGACATGGATATTTACTGTCAAATCTTTCACTTATCAACCTGAAAGATGAGATATTAACTTACAATGATTTACATTTTTTTCTTTTAGGTTGGTGGATACCCATATGAGTCCAAATGTGTTGGTGGGGGAAGGTATGGCATGAGGATAGACAGGAGAATATGAAAGACCAATATTGTAGATATGTATACAACTTTCCAGCCTGTATTGACAAGAGAGGCATTGTGCCTGATTCAGAAAGTTCAGTGTTGATGAAGATCATCATTGAGATGTATTGGAGTAAATCTGAAGGTAGGAGCTGGAAATTCCTACTGATATTCAAATTTTAGCTTCTGTGAAAAGTGTTAGTACTGAGGGAAATTTAGCTGGTATACCTCTCAGAGGTACTTAAGACTGTCTCAGTCTATCCTTTTTGGAAGGTTTAATAGTGTGTTGTAGTCTGGCTTTTCTATTTAGTTAAAGTACTTTAAAGAGAGAACTATAGGTCATTCTCAAACTGTTCATTTGATTTTTTTTTTTCTTAGAGAGGAATTTTTTCTATAGGGCATGTGTGCTCACCTGAAAGACACAGATAGACAGAAAGCGAGAAATCACCCCCCAGTGGGATGGTCATGCTGCAATCCCTTCTCCATTCTCCTCTTAGGACTTTGGCATGCATACACATGCACCCTATGTGAGCTTTAAGCTGTTGGGTCTGGGACTGTGGTGTGACCAACACCCCTGGACGTATGATTTCTCATTCTCTCTCTCTCTCTGGCAGGTGCACACACCTCATGTTAAAACCTAAAATAATGAAAAAATAAAAATAAACAAAAGTATACAATGTAGTAACAGTTATTCTGTCATTAATATAACTCCAGTGAACAAAAGAATTGACGAGGTATAGTTAATGATATTGCTCCCAAAGTATCTTTTGTGATCGAAAACTCTCATTTCAATGTTTGTTGTTTAGTTTCCTAAGGAAGACCTTGGTTGGTATAAGTGTATGATCAATGTCTAGGGCAGAATGAACCCAGTCTTGGTGGTGGTTGGTTGAGGGCAGTGCCTGTGTCCTAGAGTCATGGTTCTGGTCACACTATGGTACATGTTGGAGGGACACGTGTGCCTGTGGTCCTAGCTCTGTTTTTACCCTCAGTTCTTTCCTTTAAAGACATGTGTGTTTGATTTTTTATGTGATGCCAGAGAAAAGAGACCACTATAGACATCCTTCAGAACCTGATGGGAACAAACATTTTGGATTTTCTGGTGACACATATGTGATGATAGCTAAGATTATTTGCTAAACTTGGCCCCTGTTATATCATTATTGATTAGTGGAATTAAAGGCTATAAATAGACTGGAGTGATGGGGAAACATCAGATTGTGGCCTGATGGTGTCTACTGGAAGTTTAGGATATTTTCCTAAACTACAAAAAAAAAAAAAAAGCTAGGAGGTATTGTGAACGAGTCCGTTTAAAGCTTGCAGCAGCATGGTCTAGAATTAAAATAAATCTGGAGTCATATAATTCTGCCACTTACTTGCTGCTTGAACTGAACAGGGGCAACCAGTTATCCTTTTAAAACTTCAGTTTGGGGATCAGCAGGTGGCATAATGGTTACATTGATGTACTCTCATGTAGTCAACCGTGGTTTGAGTCCTGGAACCGGTGGCTTAAAACTCAAAACTCATGCCGGGCATGTGTGCATGTGTGTCCCAAATCCCCAGAGAATAGAGGAGAAGGGATTACAGCATGGCCATCCCCTCTAGGGAGGTGATTTTTTGCTTTCTGTCTCTCTGTTTTTCTCTCTTTCTGGCAAGTACACATGCCCTACAGCAAAAATCTCTCTACGAAACAAAAACAAAAACAAACAATAAAACAGCAAAAAAACTTCAGTTTGTATAAATGTGATATAAATGTTGTTCTTATAAGTTTGTTGTGAGGACTCCATGAAATATGTAGTTCTTTGGGTACTGTCTCATGGATGGACTCTGTGATGACATGTGATAATGAGTCCCAGGAACACTCAGTACCATGTGCGGCAATAGACACTTGGAAGGGTCTTGCAGCTTCTAGATATCATGGTTCAGTGTTGAATACTTATTATGCCAGGGATGTTTATTCTGGTTTTCTTCTTCTCACCAGCTTGGTCAGTTGGGTAAAGAAATGTATTTAATATTTTGATGAATCTCATTTGGCATTATATAATACACTTCACTGGACAAAAACTAAAAAGAAAAACTCAGGAAAACAGTTATGATGAGAAAGTACATGAATATTGATAATTACAAAATATTGCCACAAGAAAGGAAATGTTACATCATCATTTGAATATAAGAAAATACTATAAAAAACAGTTGTCAAAATATAGAAAAAGAGCTATACTGAAACATGAAAACATTAAGATCTTAGAGTAGTGACAAACATTTAACATGTATTACAAATACTGAAATGCCATGGGGAAAATGAACGGAAGTATTTTCAGAGGTGGTGGTGGTGACAAAGTACAGAGGTAGCTTTAAAAAAAATGCAAGGGACATAAAGAATGAACTTACCACCTCCTTCAAATAAAAGAAAGACTCTTTTGGGAAAATTTAATCATCATTAGCAGATACTTCTTATATCAGTTAATGAAATATTTCATATTTCAGGAGAAAACTATTTCAATGGTGAAAATGACGTAGGTATCAGAAGCATATTCTGTTGAGTTTCTAGGAACTTTACGCTTTCCCGAACTGAAAAAACATTTCAAAGAAGGCACATAAAGTTATTGACTGAATCAAATCTGTCGTAAATATAATTCATGCCTAATGAAATGGCTTACCAGCTGCCACAACTCTGGGATCCTCATGAGACTGATGTCTCCCAGATGCACGACTGTCTGCACTCTCGTTCCACCAAAGAACATGAACTGCAGAAGAAATCCACAGATAGATTCTAAGAAACACAGCATTAGGAAAATAAAAAATAAAGAAAATATCTTTTTCTTTAAGTCAGAATAGAGATGTCATGGAGGTAAAACAAAATATTTCAGTGATAAGATTTCAGAGGTGTTAGAGAATTGTTTTCAAACTCATTTTATAAATGAAGAAACACAGAGGTTGTAAAGGGAAGTTAAGTAAAATAAAAGCATAATCAAGACAAAACTCCAATTTCATGATTTCCTACAATGTTTTACTTAAAAATAAAAAGATTAAAATATTTACTAGTAAAATTTTGTTACAAAGAAGAAAACAAGTAACAATGTTAACTACATAGTGAAAACCTCTATTAATATTTAGTATATTTCCTTTAAAAAAATGGGTAAAAAATTGGGCAAAACCAAATTGAGGCCTTAATGTATACTATACTTAGTAATATATTTTTAAAAATCAGAAAAGAGTATTTTCTATGTCAATAATATTAATTTATTAATGACTATCAATTCCTTCTTATAGATACAGTAATTTTTATTTTTTATTTATTATTATTTTTTTGAGAGACTTTTGCTATAGGGCACATGCGCTCGCCAGAAAGAGAGACAGAGAGACAGAAAATGAGAAAACTCCCCAGGGGGATGGCCACACCGCCATCCCTTCTCCTCCATTATCCTCTTGGGATCTTGGGCATGCAAGCACACGCGCCCAGTGTGAGTTCAAGCCATCGGGTCCAGGATTAGAACCATGGTTGCCTACATGGGAGTCCAGTGACATAGCCATTACACCAACTGCTGGTTCTTAGATACAGTACTTTTTAATGCCAACTCCTTTTGGCTATTTATTTACAATATTTTAGTACTCTATAAAATACTGGAATTGGGCCAGCCAGTAATATTGGTTAAGGTAACTGGACCCCACATGGTTGCATGTGCAGTTCAAGTCCCAGACCCAGAGGCTTGAAAAAATAGCATGTGTACATGTGTGCCCCAAATCCTGAGAGCAGAATGGAGGAAATGAGATTGTGGCATGGCTATTCCCCTTGGGGATATTTTCTCACTTTTTTTTTCTCTCTCTTTGGCAAGTGCATGCACTCTACAGCAAGTTAAAAAAAAAAATGCTGGGGCCAGCAGGTGGCATAGTGGTTAAGGCACTGGCCTCCCACATTGTCGATCGTACCTCGAGTCCTGGACCCAGCAGCTTGAAATTCACGCTGGGTGCGGGTGCATGCGTGTCCAAAATCTCAAGAGGAGAATGGAGGAGAAGGGACTGTGGCATGGCCATCTCTCCTGGGGAGTGATTTCTTGCTTTCCGTCTCTGTCTCTCTGGCGAGTGCTCATGCCCTGTAGCAAAAATCTCTCAAAACAAACAAGCGAACAAACAAAAATACTGGAGTACGTGTTCTTCATGTACATGTATGTTTATATATCTTTAATAATTACAATATGATACATGTTAGATGTACAGGAAAATGCAGATTAAAAAAAGAAAATAGGAAATTATTTCTTTTTTTGGAGAGGTTTTTGCTATAGGGTGCGTGCGCTCGGCAGACAGAGAGAGACAGAGAGATAGAAAGCGAGAAATCACCCCCCGGGGGGATGGCCATGCCACAATCCCTTCTCCTCCATTCTCCTCTTGGGATCTTGGCCACACACGGACACGTGCCCGACATGAGTTTAAGCCACCAGGTCTGGGACTTGAATCACGGTCGACTACGTGGGAGTCCAGCGACATAGCCATTACGCTAACTGCTGGTCCCAAAATAGGAAATTATTTCTATTCAACCCATAAATAACTACTTTTATATTTGGTGTACCTTTCTCTTTTTTAATTTTTTTTTTTTGGAGAGGTTTTTGCTATAGGGGGCGTGCGCTCGCCAGACAGACAGAGAGAGACAGAGAGACAGCAAGCGAGAAATCACCTCCCAGGGGGGATGGCCATACCACAATCCCTTCTCCTCCATTCTCCTCTTGGGATCTTGGGCACGCACGCACACGCGCCTGGTGTGAGTTTTAAGCCACCGGGTTTGGGACGTGAACCGCGGTCGACTACTTGGGAGTCCAGCGACATAGCCATTACGCTAACTGCTGGTCTTGGTGTACCTTTCTGTATTATGTATATATTTATATGTAGCTTTACATATGTATAGAAATAAAAACATACATACTTACATGTGTTTATGCTTGAATACATCATAGATGTGTTATATCTTTTTCTATATGTATATTACATAAAGGTCATACCACATTGTTTCCAAAGTTTCCTTTGTAAACAATGTTTATATAAACTTCATTTCAGCATACCTAAATAATATCAGTGACAACTATGACTGATGTTTATTTAGTGATTACTGTGTGCCAGGCTTGGTGTGGAGCATTCTTCATGTTATTAATTCATTTAGTCCTCATAATAACCTGTGCAGTAGATTATTATCATCATCATTTTATGGATAAAGAAACTAAGGCAAGATTAGGTAACTTACCCAAGATCACAAAGTTAATAAATGATAGAGCTGGGACTCAAATCCAGGCATATTGAATCTGATTATTTCCTTAACATAAACTCCCAAAATTTTGATTAAGAGAACCAAAAAGTATATCTTATATATATTATTGTATAAATACAATCCTTGGTATCTAGGATATCTAAGATATGTACTTTCTTCCAGATATGATGTAGTATATTACCATTCTTTTTTTCTTTGGAGAGGTTATTTTTACTATAGGACTCATGCACTCGTCAGAAAAACAGAGAGATAAAGAGACAGAAAGCGAGAAATCCCCCCACCAGAGGGGAGGGCCACGCCACAATCCCTTCTCCTCCATTATCCTCTCAGGATCTAGGGCAAGCATGCACATGCATCTGGCATGAGTTTAAGCCACTGGGTCCGGGACTCGAACTATGATCAACTACATGGGAGTCCAGCGACACAGCCATTACGCTAACTGCTGGTTCCTAGTATATTACCATTCTTCTAGTATACTGAGAATGAATCTAAGATTAAAAAATATGCACATACAACTTTAGTAGTTTTTTTCTATAACTGTTATGTACATCCAGTGTAGAAAATTAAATAAAGACTTAAACAATTAATTTCATCAACCAAATATGGTTATTATGTCTTTCATATCCTTTCAAATTTCTTTCTTATGTAAATAAACACACCTACACACATATAAATGAATGCATAGATACTAGATTTTTAAAAAAAAAATTGTTTAATTTTATTTGCTTATTCTTACTCTTCAATTTGACCAGGGAGAGAGAGAGAGGGAGAGTAATAAAACAAGCTGCCAGGTCCAGGACTTGAACCATGATTTCCCATGTGGGAGTCCAGTGCATTAGCCACTGTGCCACCTGCTGGCTCCCATATGTACTAGATTTAATACTGGGAAAGAAAAAGACAATAAAGAAATTAAGGCTTTCTACTGTCAAATTCTGGGGACAAAAAAATTTAATAGGAACTCTATATAGTATATGAGTACATATTGTTTCCTGACCTATCTGATACTATTAGTATATCTTTATTAGGTAAAAAATGGAATCTCACTATTACTTAATCTGCATCTTCTTTAATATATATTTAGTAGTCATCTGTGTTTTTATCTTTGCATAGAGTTTTTTTTAAAATTTCATTTATGGTGACTTAGGGCATGCAGAAAATTTGAGCTTTTATATAATAAAATAATTAGTTGATTTTTTTCCTTCATAGTTTCTTTGTATGCTTTTTATGCTTTTTAGTTTAGAAATATAGCCCCCCTTTATATTGTTAAATAAATTAATCTAGATTTATTTTAGCCATTCTATGAAATAAATTTTTTTCACTGAAATCTGTAATCCATCTTTTTAGTACATAGTGTGAGGCATCTAATAATTTTCATAAAAAATTTTCTTCTCTTTTTTTTTTTAACTTGAACAAGCATCTATTTTTGTATATCTTGACTATTTTTTTATTTTATATAACTAGATGATAATTTTCTTTTGCTTAAAGATCAGCTCAGAGTTGGGTATGTCAGGTTTGGAATGTCCATTAAATATGAAGTAGAGATAATAAGACAATTGGATATGATGAGTCTATTTATCATTTAATAGATATTATATTAGTATATTTATTAGCTATTCCTAGTCATTTATCCTTTCAGATAAACTTCATACTTTTTTATAATTAGCTATCAAAAACTTTTCAATTCTGATTATAGTATCTTCAACTTTAAGAGTAAAATTCTTTAAATATGTGTTTCTTAAATACATTTATAGATGTATTTACCTTAATATATACATGTTTTATATGTGTGTATATTATATATGCATATATTATATATTCGTGTGTGTATATGCATATATACAGGCATATGCGTACATATGTATATACACACATGCATATGTGGATGGTCTGCCATTGCAGTAATCATCTGTATCACCATCTCATCCACCATGGGGATGCACTCGCTAGAGAGACAGAGAGAGAAGAAAGCAGCCCCCTCCCTCTACATGGGGAATGGTTTTGAGGTCATTCCTTCTCCTCCATCTTTCCCTCCTCTTGGAATTTTGGGCACATATGCACACATGCCTGGTGTCTTTATCAAGCTGCCAAGTCTGAGACTCTGCAATTAGTCATGTGAGATTTGACTGCCTTAACCAGCAGGCTATAGAGCCAGCTTGAATTTCCTAATCTTAAAAATTCTTTAGGGATGGGCCCAGCAGGAGTGGTTAAGGTGCTGGAATTCCCACTTGACTGTCCACGGTTCGAGTCTCGAACCTGGTGGCTTGCTTTCTCCCTCTCCCTCTCTCTGTCTCTCTTCCTTTGGCAAAACTCATGTGAAAAAAATAATAAATAAAATAATTATAAAAGTAACAACTATTTTAAAAAAAAAAAGTCTTTAGGGACCAGAAGGTGGTATCATGGTTAAGGTGCTGGACTCCCACATGGCTGACTAGGGTTTGAGTTCCAAACCTGGGAGTTTGAAAATCATGCTAGATGTGTATACATGCATGCCCCAAAGCCCAGGAGAAGAATAGAGAATGGATTGCAGTGGGGCCATCCCTCTGGGGAGTGACTTCTCACTTTCCCTCTTACTGTCTCTCTTTAGTGGGTGTACCTGCTCTATAGTAAAGACCTTAAAAATGTATGTTTTTGAAAGGACATAATTTTTCCTCAGTTACTAATGTAAAAAAAGGCTACACGAACATGGTTAGATTCCCAGATCCTTTGCTTCTTTGAGGATGGACTTAAATGGCTGATATCATTGATTATAAACTTGGTGTAGCTTCTGTTGAGAAATAAACTAAGAGACCAGCAGATGGCATAATCATTACATTGCTGGACTCCCACATAGTCAACAGCAGTTCAAGTCCCAGACCCAGTGACTTCAAACTCATGTCAGGCATGTGTGCGTGTGTGCCCAAAATCCTAAGAGGAGAATGGAGAAGGGATTGCAGCATGGCCATCCCTGCTGCAGGGTGGTGGGGGATGATTTCTCACTTTCTGTTTCTCTGTCTCTCCAGCAAGTGTATGCACCCTATAGCAAAAATCTCTCTTAAAAAAAAAGAGAAACAAAGCTTATATTTTTAAATTCCATTTTCCATGAATTTTTGGAAATACTCTCATACACTGTGATTTCATATAATAAATGTACAACTATACCTCTGTTGAGTACTCCATATTCTGTGTGGAACACTCCAATTAGTTTTGTGTAGCCCAGATTCACATGGGTATGGATTGCACTTTTAAATGCTTCACCCCACAGAGCTGGCCCACCAGGTTTCATCTGAAAAGTAGCCAGTTCATAGATTCCTAGAGTAGGGAGAAAAAGGATTATTTTACAGAACATTCAAGCAATTAGTCTGGTTCCAGTGAAAGATTAATCTCTATATATATACATTTGGAATATCATACATAATCATGTATATGATCATGCTTACTTATATTTGTATTTTTAAGATATTTATTATATTTACATTAGTTTTCTTTGCATTTATGTTTAGAAAGTGTGTGTCCATTTAAAAATTACTTAATTTTACTTATTGTTGTTATTATTATTATTTAATTTACTATAGGGCGTGTGTACTCACCAGAGAGAGACAGAGAGACAGAGAAAGAGAGAAGGTAAGAAAGCAAGTTGCCAGATCTGGGACTTGAACTGCAGTCAGCCATGTGAGAGTCCAGTGCCTTAACCACCATACCACTTGCTGGCCCTATGTGCTCCTGTTTAACAAGGAGCTGTTACGCTTAGTCACACAGGTGACAAAGTAAAAAATACTGGAGGCTATATATGGGAGGACTACAGGGGTTCATGGAAAAATGTAATTACAAGTTTATATTGATGTCCCCAATTTTTGAAGTCCATGCATAGTTTCTTCATGGTATATATTTTCCATGAAGTTTTTGAAGTACTCTTGTATAAACTACTATCTAAAAAATATATTGCTATAGGGTGGCGTGTACTTGCCAGAGATACTGAAAGCAAGAAGTCACCACTCCCCCCCCCCTGCAGGGGTGGGGTCGGCGGATGGCTACATCAAAATCCTTTCTCCTCCATTCTCTTGAGGTTTTGGTCATGCACATACACATGACCAGTGAGTTCCAAGCCGCTGGGTCAAGAACCGATATAACCATTATGCCATCTGCTGGCCCCTGAAATATTTTTAATTTATAAAACTTGTCGATAAAACAGTTACTGAGAATTTATAATAAAATAGGATTTTAAACTTACTCAAGCCTATATTTTTAGAAAAGAAATGAATAAAAGAAACTTCCAATCTCCTACATTTTCATTCTTTTTTCCAATACCCACTACTTTTTTCTCCGTATAATTTCCCCTTTAAGTTTCCATTTTTAATAGGAACAGCAAAGCAAAAATAGGCCTGAAGTGATACTTCTGAGTTACAGAGGAAGACAATCCATAAATCTAAAGAGATGATTAATTTTTCTTATATATCAAGGTAAGTAATTGAAAAGTATTTTACCTTCTGGACTTAAGTAAGAGGTCAGAGGAAAGAAAGAACTTAGGGGAAAAGTAGATTTGGGAGGTAAAGGAAAATTATACAGAAGTTAATCATGAACAATACAGAAGAAAAGAACCAACATTTACACTGTCCAGGAGGCCAAATATTTTAGGTTCTGATGACAGCTGAGGGAAGATCTAAGTGGATAAAGATCCAAATAAAACTTCTCAAATTTCTTAAAATCTAAAATATACTACAAAGTTGGGAATAATGGGGGAAATAAAATTTGAATTAGCCTTCATTTTTCTTTCTTTTTTTTTCTTTTTTTGGAGAGGTTTTTGCTGTAGGGCGCGTGTGCTTGCCAGACAGACAGAGAGAGACAGAGACAGAAAGCAAGAAATCAACCCCCAGGGGAGATGGCTACGCTGCAATCCCTTCTCCTCCACTCTCCTCTCGGGATCTTGGGCACGCACGCACACGCGCCTGGCGTGAGTTTCAAGTCACCGGGTCCGGGACGCAAACCGCTTTCGACTATGTGGGAGTCCAGCAACATAGCCATTATGGTAACTGCTGGTCCCCCCCTTTTTTTTCTCTTTTTCTTTTTAGCCTTCATTTTTCTAATTTAACCCGAGTTTAAAAGTGGATTGAGGTAAAAGTTTCTTTAAGTTAGCAAGAAGTGAAATCAGCAAGACAACTCTGAAAAAATTATTTCAAGCTGAGAAATAAAGTGGGAGACACAAGAGTTAGACTATGGTAAAAAAGTTTGAAAGTTTCAGTTAGTCATTCCTACCCACCCCCAAGCAGACAGTCAAATTTATAAGCAAAGATGTACTCGATGATTTAAGATTACTTATAGTTCATGGAAAATACTTTATGTTTAAGAGCTTAGGGGCCAGGCATGGTGGTATCCGCCCTATGGCAAAAAATTTAGGGGCCAGCAGGTGGTACAGTGGTTAAGATGCTGGACTCCCATATGGCTCACCATGGTTTGAGTACTGGACCTGGCAGCTTGAAACTCACACTGGGCTTGTGTATGTGCATCCCTAAAATCCTGAGAGAAGAATTGACAAGAAAGGATTAATCATCCCCGTGGTGGGGTGATTTCTCACTTTCTCTCTGTCTCTCTGTGTCTCTAGCAAGTGTGCATGCCCTATAGCAAAAACTGCCTCTTTAAAAAAAAAGTTTACATTATTTTAAGATTATGATACAATTTCATCTGTTTCTTACCTATCCACATATGTTCCTTGTTCTCAATGTGTAACTTTTTCAACCATAATTGTTAAGTGAGCTTTTTCTATAATGTAACTGTTATGAATTAAGGGGACCAGCAGATGGCATAATGGTTATATCACTGGACTCCCATGTAGTTGACCGTGGTTCGAATCTCAGACTTGGTGGCCTAAAACTCACACTGTGCATGTGTTTGTGTGTGCCCAAAATCCCAAGAGGAAAATAGAAGAGTAGGGATTGTGGTGTGGCCATCCACCTGGGGGGTAATTTCTCACTTTCTGTCTCTCTGTCTCTCTCTTTTTGGAGAGCGCACGTGCCCTATAGCAAAAACCTCTTCAAAAAAAGAAAAAAAGAGTATGAATTAACCAGATCCAATTTGAAAAAATATTGCATTATTTAAGGCATTTTTTGGGGGGGTATAAACTAAGTGCTCCAATTTACTTTTATCTCAACAATCACTGCATGTTCCTATATAACACAAAGGATTAATTTAATTTTTTTCCAATGCAACTTTTATTTTTTTTCATTAAATTACTAAAGAGATATATACACACACACTTATTTAATACCAGGGGGTGTGCATGTGCATGCGTCAGAGAGAGAAAGAGAGAGAGCATCTAACAAAAGGGTCTTATCATGCCATAATCCTTTCCTTCCAATTCTCCTTCCCATCAGGATCCTAAACAGATGGGCATACCATGTTTTTCAAGCCGTGGGTTCAGGACTTGAACTGATTGACCATTGGGGATCCATCTTATGAGTAGCATCCAACCTCTGTGCTATGAGGCCAGAACTCTTTCGTATTTTATTCATCAAACTCAAAAGTGGATAAGAAATGGTAAGGAAGGACTTACCTTCTTTTGGTGGCTTTTCTAATTTACACCATGGTACCAGATAAGTAATCTCACTCTCTTGTTTATCAATGAGAGACAAATTTGGAATAAGGAATTGTTCTTGCCATTCTTTATCTTTGGCCAAGGCTTTTCGGACTTCAGTTCGATGAGCAAAATTATCTATGGGAGAAAAGAATTAAGAAAAATTAGAAATTGATTTAAAATCACCTATACCTTTCTATATTTCATTCAAATCAACAAATATTCATCTATGCTACATAGGAATACTGTGTTATGCCTTTGGAGTTACCAACATAAATATATGTCACATCTGCCCTCAAGTTGCTCATAGTCTAGAAGGGGAATAGAAATGCAAACAACTAATTATAATATCATATAATGGTGTTTATAAAAGCTATACCACTTTGTTGTGTGACTTAGGAAAGTTATTGAATCTTTCTATGCTTTAGTTCCTTAATCTTAAAAATGGAGATTATCATATAACATCTACCTCCAGGGTTGATGTAAGGATTAAATGAATTAATACATAAAAGTGCTCAGGACAGTGTTTGACACCTAATTAATACTCAATATATGTACGCAATTCTTATTAGTTTAATTGAGGAATTTAATTTATAGTGCTAGTTTAAAGAAAGACTATTTTTCTAGTGGTGGTGGGTCAAGGTATGCCTCAAATCAAATTTAACATAATTTAAATTAAAATGTATTGTTAGAGTCTATTCTCCTTTGAACAAATTGCTTTCAAATACATAGTGCTGATTTTCAATTTATTGTTACCCATTTTCCCCCAACTTATTTCTCTAAAGTTACTCAAACAGGTAGATATATATGATAATTAATATATGGACTTAGTATTATATTTACTTTATTTCTCTTAAGTTACTCAAACAGGTAGATATATACGTTAATTAATATATGGACTTAGTATTATATTTACTATTAGAACCTCTTAAGACTAATGGTAAAAGAGTTTTATGTAGTTTATGATGGGGATAAGCAATAATACCTGACAACTTAAATGAGGTGTAACAAGATTAGTTTTTAAAAAATGGGTCATACCTCAACTTGTATCACATCTAAAGCATAAAACTGTGTTTTAATGGAGCTTATTACCATAGTGAAAAAAATCCTAAAATATGTCCATGTCAGATAGAGAATTGTCTATTTTTGTATTAAAGTACTTTATAAATATTAATTTGGACACTGATGACCGAACACTAAATGATACAATATTGAGTTTTTTGTATTTCATCACATCCTGTTGTAGTCACTGTGATAACATCACATCTTGGAGATTATTCTAACTTGTTCTCCTTTTTCTACTAAATCATGAGTGAGTCAGTTTCAATATAGGAAGAACTCTAACTCCTTTTCCTTTACCTCTCTAGAGTAACATTAAATTCCTTGAATCTCTGGGTCTAGAAATGAAACAAAAGTGGTCTCTTAAGAAAAAGAATTATTAAATCAGTGTTGGGTGTGGTTTAAAAGCTAATCACCATCTCCTATCAACTTCTGTTGTTTTAAAGCCCTAAGTGTTTGGATTATTTCTACTAAAATGCTGATATCCAATACCACCTTCAACAGAAAGGATATTTTTCCTTTTGTGATCTTAGCTTTCCTGGACTTTTGCAGTTACTGCTTCATAAGCCATCCTTAAAATAAACCATTCTAAAATTTTTCTAAGAATTAAAATCTAGTTAATAATTTTGTGATTTGCAATATGAGATTCCACATTTTTCCCATGTATGATAATGCAAGAGGTTGAGCAAGGAGTTGTTAGCGGTGAACCACTGGAAGAATAATTCACTAAACTTATTTCTTTATCTGCTTTTTAAAAGTTTTACATAACCTGTATGTCCTATTGTATTAGGTCATCAGGAAGATCATGATATATTTTTCTGTGTTTTTGTATGCAAAAATGCATTATCACTTTCTCGACAACCCAATAGATCCAATAACTCAGTCTTATCTAACAGAATGAAAATCTGTACTGAATACTTAAGCTGGATGACTCATACCATACTTCCATATATGAAACACTTTATTCATTCTGCCTCCAAATTCTACACTCCAATATCCGACCAATTCAGAGTGAGCTGTCCGAAGATGAATGTTTCTCTTAATATTTTCCAGGAATTCATTCACCTTTGAGGGCTTAAGATAATAGGTACGAAATTCATAGAATGTTCCATCATATTGTCTGGGGCCCGTAGCAAAAGACGAACATACCTGAAGAAAGATAAGGCAAATTTAATATTTTGGGGAGGGATTTAAATAATCTTGGAAGGGACCAGCAGTTAGCGTAATGGCTATTTCGCTGGACTCCCACGTAGTAGACTGTGGTTCGCGTCCCGGACCCGGTGGCTTAAAACTCATGCCAGGTGGGTGTGCATGTGTGCCCAAGATCCCGAGAGGAGAATGGAGAAGAAGGGATTGTGGCATGGCCATCCCCCCATGGGGGGTGATTTCTTGCTTTCTGTCTCTCTGTCTGTCTGGCGAGCGCTCGCTCCCTATAGCAAAAAACCTCTACCAAAAAAAAAAAAAAAAAATCTTGGATTTATTGTATTACAACCAAATCTGAGAATAGAATGGAAATGGGACACTCAGTAGGCTCATAATCTATGTGTACTTCTGTCAATTCTCCATAGACATGTATGTAGTTATCTAAAGATATGAATAGATAACTACTCTTAAATATGCTGCATATATGAGGGGACTTTAAGAAGCGCATGGAAAAATGGGATTAATACAGTTAATTGTGGTATAAAACACTTTTTAAATCCATGTAGTTTTTCATAATATGCATTTTCAATATTCCATCTTTGTTAATTGTGTATGTTTTAGAATTACATTTAAAATATAAAGGTATTTAGGTAGGTAAAATGAAAAAATGTTTACTAGCAGAAAACTTTTTTTTTTTTAAATAAGAGGTGGTTTTTGACAGAGTCTCTTCATGTCATGACCCTTCCTGCCTCAGCCTCCCAGTTAGCTAGGATTACATGTGCATACCACCATACCCAACTTGTTAAGGTTGGCCAGGGAACGTTACACCCAACTCCTGCACCTCCCTTGCATAATGCATTAGTGTCCTAAGTAGAAACTGCTACTCAGTCTTAAATCCAATAAATTAAATGACTAGTCAAAATTGGGACTAACCCTTGGTGTGATGGGACATGCCTATAATCCCAGTTACTCTTCAAGAGACTGAGGCAGGGGTATTGCAACTTTGATGCCACACTGGGCAACATTTGTGAGTCTCTATCTCTAACAAAACAGGACTGTAATATAATAGGAAATTATGATTTATCTAATTGCAATGAAACATAGACTAGGAAATTATGACTTACCCAATTGCATTGAAATATAGATTGTATGAATGGTAAAAAAAAAAGGAAAATTTAAGGAATTAGAATGATCTGAGTCATTATTAGTTTCTAATTATAGGTGCAACATCACAAGGGCACTTAACAGCATCCACTTACATAGGCAGATGAAAATATCCCTTAAGAACCATTATTAGTTCCTTTTCTAATAGTCATATGCTCACTATATAACTTTCTAATTTATGTTGAGTGGATTTAACTTTCAGAAGAAAATGCTTTGCCAGAAACTATCCTGTATGTATGATCACGCACGTGTGTATGTATGAGTGGTCTTTCAAAAGTTCATAGACTATGCATTATTTTAGAAAAACTATGCATGGATTTGAAAACTTTTGTTCCAGCATAAACTCATACCTTAATCCCATTTTCCCACAAACTTCCTGAAGTCCCCCTAAAAACATAGACACTCATAGGCTTTCTAGATACAAATCCACTTGGTTAGTATGAGACTAATTCCTGAAGCTGACCACAGAATAATCTATCAGAGCAGTTTGGGAATTTAAGAACTAGGGTTTATATGACTACCTTTTATCTCTACTGAAAACAGTAGCTTTGTTCTAATATATCTTTGTTTGTAAAACACAACAGTGTATTTTACTTAACTATGTATAAGGCTTCATGATAATCATCTATCTTGAGTCCATTCTAGTCATTTCTACCAGAAGTTTTGTACTGTCAAAATGACTACATTTACATCAAAAACAACTGCAGTTTTTCCTGCATTTGTATACACTCTTTATTAGTTTTTAAACCAAACTCTAATAAAAGAACGTTATTAGAATAATGCCAATGAGGCATTTCTAACTGCTTTTATGTTGATTTGAGGAATCTGTATTAGAACATAAACTATTTGATCAAGGCATATCTTTTTACAATTATCTTTCGCAGGAAAAATACCCTATAGGGAATATGTAGAAAGGTTTGAGTGTGCGTGTATGCTAGCATGTTTGTGTGTTGATGAAGATTGAAGTTACTTTTGTTGCAGGGCTGACTAGAATTGTGTTGGGAGGAATCTTGAGTGCTGCTTGTTTCCTGATGGGCAAGTTATTCTTGCCAAGCAATGACTTCCACTTCAGTTGCAACAAAACAATTAGCACACATTTAAAACCAAAGTTCACAGCAAAGTTGTAGGGGAAAGAAGTCTCGCCCCTGCCTCACTAGTGAATCAGAAGGCAAAAGGCTGCGTGGTTAATACTGGGTCAGTGGACATTAATGGCTCTTCCTCAGTGTTCAGGAAGCTTGTGTCCAGAATAGTTAACTCTCCTAACCTGCCCTGGGTTAGTCACAGGACAGGGCAGGGCCCCACAGGTTCCCCCCGCCCCCATCTCTTTGAGGTCTTCTCTGTGTTATGGTCAGGGGGGCTAGGAGGCTATCAACCGTTCCTGACTTGCGGACAGGTGGCACAAGACGAGGTGGTGGTCCTGGGTCCTTTCCCACCGGGACCCTAGGCTGCTTCTTCATGGTTGGTCACAAAATGCTCTGGGGCTGAGTATTTCGTTGAAAGGCTCGGCCCGTTCCGCAGGCAGCGGCTGCTCAGCCTCTTCCTCCGTCTACCTGCAGTGTGGACGGGGCCTTGGCTGGTAAAACCAGGAGGCCCGACCCCAGCCCGGCCAGGCCTGGCGACAACGCGGCGGGGGCG